GGAGTTCCACTCTTGCTCAGGTACCACTTACTAGCAGAGAAACACAGGCATGCTGCCTCTTCAAAGGAAAAGTGCAGGCAAAGGTGAAGATGGGGAACCATAAGGAAGTCTAGTCCTGTGAGCCTGAGAGCACAACCAGGAAGCTAGCAAGCCACTTTTGCTACCGAGGTATTGCGTGTAGTTTGGCTGGTAGAGTAGCTGGGAATTTAGAGATCAGACAAGTGGGGCCATGGCTTGCCACCAAAATCCAGGGCATGGATCTCCACTTATCAGCAGCCAACAGCCAGAGGCAAGTGATAGCAGTTAATCCCTACCATTGTTCACCCTTGCTGCTGCTGAGTCCAGATCCAGCCTGTGACGAGAGCGAGTTTGACATTCCTAGCTCAATTATATGCCTAGCTGCCTGCTGAAGACCATGCTAATTCATCCTCCTTACCCACCTGTGCACGATAACTCTCTTCACCTTGCGCCCTTGGGAGCAGGTATGTAGGAGACTTGATGCTAACTCATGATGCTGAAAACTAAGACTAGAATCTTGATTCCTCATGAGCTAAAGCGAAGCTTCCACCTACACTACAGATTTATTTGCTTGTGGGGATACAACCTATTAAATGATTATGGTCAGTGACATAGAGAACATGGAGGTAAATGGCTTTACCGGCAGTATGGCCAATATCTAAAACAAATTGCTGCCTATAGCCATTTCTTCTAGATCTAAGGAACCACTATGTGTTTGGATAAAAAAGCAAGATCATCTGCAATAGCCCCATGGGATGCCTCCCTACTTCCCCAACTATGCAGGGATCCAGGCTTATTCTAATTATAACAAGGAAATAATAAAATAATTTGAAGTCTTAAATGTTGTCACCTTTCATTCAGTTTTCCTAAAGTGCATTCACAAGTTTTAGTAACAGAATATACCTACAATATACAGGACTGTAGACAGGTATAATTTGACTCAAAATTGAAGTGCAACAAAGCACACTAGTCATTCTACAGACCACCACTGTAGTAAAAAAATAACCCAACCAGCAAGGAGCCGTTTTGGCAACTTCAACACATAAAGCCGAACTAGCCAAGCGTCTCTGCTTTTGGGTAGTTACTGAGGATGTTGATATACTTAATTATATATGTACAATTGTATCTGTATATACACTTAATGTGTATCTAACTACTTTGCTGGATTGAACTGCAGATCTAGAAATGGTGCAGCATTGATTCTTGAAGTAAGTCTAGAATTATAAAGAGTTTCAGCCAGGAAATTCTTCTCCTCCAAATATTAACATTAGAAGAAAGCATTTTTCAAAGAGGAAAAATCTATTCTTTTTCAAATATCCAAGGGGGCGTACACCTTTGGGTAATTAACATTAGCATTTCTTCCACATTTTCTGTATGCTGCAGTTCAATTAAAAAAAAAAACCAAGCATATGCACTGCACATCCACTCTCTCTTCATCTTCTAGATTTCTGAACCAGTGCCAGAAGTTCAATGTATTAAATATACAAGCTTTCAGGCCCTAGCCCTTGAACCATGTAAATTATTTTTAAAAATCCACTCTAGAAACCTACAAAATTCTTTTCCAGTCATTCAGCCAGATTTATACAGGAAAGCAATAGAAAAATGCTACCAGGAGGACCTGAACAGGCTGGAGAGTTGGGCAGACCAGAACCAGGTGAAGTTTAACACTTCCAAGTGTAAGGTGCTCCATCTGGGGGCAAACAACCCTCAACATACACACAGGCTCAGTGGCGACAGCTTGACTTGCACCATTTCTGAAAGGGACCTAGGGGTAGTGACTGACCATCACGTGAATATGAGCCATCAGTGTAAGGCGGTGGTCACAGCAGGGCAAACAACACGCTGGCATGCATCAACCAACGCATCTCGTGTAAAACTAAGTATTACTCCTGCTGTACTCAGCACTGGTGAGACTGCAGTTGGAGTACTGCATCCAGTTCTGCACTTCAATAAGGATGTGGAAAAACTTGAGAGGGTCCAGAAAAGAGCCACCTGCATAATCAGGGACTTGCAAGGCAAACCGTACAAAGAAAGGCTAAGGGACCTGGGCCTCTTTAGCCTAAAGAAAAGGCTGAGAGGGGACTTGATAGTTGCTTACCGCTACATCAGGGGAGTGCACCAGGAGCTCAGTGAACAACTGTTCACTAGGGCACCCCTGGGGAAGACCAGGACCAATGGATACAAACTCGTGGAAGGCCACTTCAGGCTTAATACCAGGAAAAACTCCTTCACAGCCAGGGTATCCAGACTGTGGAATAAACTCCCTCCAGAGGTGGTGCAGTCACCTACCCTGGAGGTTTTCAAGAGGAGACCGGACAGTCACCTTGCTGGGGTCACCTAACCCCAGTTGTCTTCCTGCCTAGAGTGTGGGGGGCTGGACCCGATCTGCAAGGTCCCTTCCAGCCCCTAACGATCCAGTTATATATGAAATAGCAGCTTTCAATGCAGTATCAGCACAATTCACAATTGCAAGGAATGAAACAGGCACAGGTAAAGGCAGGGCCGTCCCGGGCGTGGGAGGGCAAATCAGGACGACTGCTCTGAGCCCCGCACTTTGAGGGGCCCTGCAAAGCTGGGCGGAGCGGCCGCGGCAACTCTACTCTGCCACCACTGGCTTCGTGTCCAGCCACTTGCCCCCATCTCCCCCCACTTCAGATGGTGGCGGCAGCTTCTTGGGGTCTGTGGCGCATGGGATTGGAGCGGGAGCGGGGGCATTGCCCTGCATGGGCTGATTTGCCCTGGGCCCCACACCCTGCTCAGGTCAGCTTTAGGTAAAGGTAAGAAGGATTTTGAAAATTCCCGTCTAAGCTATATGAGACTATTTATACACCCCTGAAGGTGCAAGTTTTAAAAGACTAAAAGGGTTTCCTTGTGCCCAAATCCAAATAGCCTGAAGATGTGCTTTTGTTATAATGAAGTTAAGAAAAAAGGATTTTGTTCCAAATCCTAAGCAGCAGCTTACCTTGTGTGTATCCCTGAATATGCGCACACAATTTTATGGTATTTCTATACCAATGAGTAGTATTTATTTGTATTGCAGAAATATCTAGAAGTCCAAAACAAGGATTAGGGGGCTGTTATGTCTGGAGTTGTACATAGTGCTTTTGTAACCATTTCCATATATTGTTTACAAAGGAACTGAGATTGAAAACAATGTGTAATCTATGTAGAGAGCTAAATAATGATGTTAATAATGTTTGATTAGATCTTACACAACTGCCTAACAAAAGGTCCCATTCAGATGGGCTGAAAAGATGCAAGCCAGTCTCCTACCACTCTTAATGAAAATGAGCCATTGTTTCCCGTTTCACAGGCACAGCAGATTTATTGTCTCAATAGATTTCCATGTGGTTTAGAATCAACAACTCCTAAAGTACGTGCAGCTATTCCAGAGGAAGCACCAGAGTCGTGCACTGCAGCAGGATGGCATGAAGCGAGACAGAGGTTTGTTCCCAGCAAGTGGGAAGGGGGCACTGATTTATTCTGGAGAGACTGGAAACAGCTTTTGAACTGTGGTAAAAATAATAAAGCGTCTTAAATGTGTTTTGCTGCAAGTCAATAGAGCAAGAAATCCTGAAACTGCTTTACCTGGGATTATGAGGCATCTGCTTTGAATATTTTCACCTGCTCCTCCCTTAAGTGCACTGAGTTGTCTTGCACTTTCCTCAAAAAGACTGTTTTATATGCAGTTGTGTAGGTGTGTGAGATGCTCTTCAAACCAAATAAATGACTGATGACCCAAGAAGTTTCCAGTCTAGATTAGAGATGGTTTATGACATTATTCTGCTCATTGTTACTCTTATGGATCACATTTAGGATTCAGTTCCCCATTTCTGCCCCAGTGATCAATAAGATAGTCCAGGAAGTGACGGCAGAATCAGAGAGGCATCAAAAAGCCCTGAAAGCCTGGGCTGAAAGTCAAGTTACTGCTGATTCCATCACGAGAGTAGATCCTGTAAATACAGGAATATTTACCTCTACATATGTACGTCCATTAGTTTCACATGCACCTACATAATAAACACTCACTTGTGTCATGTTAGCCAAGTACGTAAGAGTTTGCAAGATCAGGGCCCATGTCCCACATGCACTATAATTTTAGTTGAATTCTAAAATGCCTTTCAAGATAGACTCAAAGTTTCTGATAACTACATTTTTGCTGAGAGGTGATGGCCTCTGCACGTTAAACCCCCCCCCCCGAAAACACAACACAGAATCTACAAGTGTAATATTAGGATTCAGTGGACTAAAGGGATACTTAGATAAGGAAACACAAAGAAGGTACCCACATCTATCTACTAAAATAGAACGTCTTGAAGCTTCCACAGGGGAAGAACTTCTTGTGCTTGTGTTCTGAAAGGGTAATGTTCTTCAGCGAGTGCTGGCACATCTCATGCTTCCATTCATAGAAAGAAGAAATCTCTTGTTCTTCCCAATGGCGTAGGGGACATCATCTGGAAAGGGGCTATTACTGACAAGCCTGCTTTTAAGAGTAATGCTGGAAAAAAGCTAAACCAGACAAGGACAGTTTGTGTGGATGGTGTGGTTGGGAGGTTAAGATGTTGAAAACTAAGGTTACAAGCTTCATGATAGGCACAGGCAAGTTGGTCCCAGGCTCTGAGATCAGGAAGAAGAAAGAGCCTAGCTACATTGGTCATTCACGTAGCTCAGAGGCTCCCAACAACTGGGCTGCAAAGGGTTGGCTGCTGGGTCGTGACATGAACCCCCCGCTTGGACTCCTGTCTGTCCACACTGGCAAGCGGTTTCTGCCATTAAAGCTGGGTGGCAGGGCAGCCCTAGGAGGGAGGCAGCCAGCTCAGTGAGCTCTGTCCAGTTCCCGCTGGTCCACAGTATAAAAAGGTTGGGAACCACTGGCCTAGCTATATTGTTCCATCATGAAGCCCTATCTTAGTCTCATGTAATTTCAGCTCAAAAAATTATACTTTGGTCAAACTTCCTGCAAAAGGATCGTTTCTACAAAGTTTCAAGAAAACTCCAACAGTTTTATTTGCAAAAGCAGAAATCAATAAAAATATAGATATTCCAATCAGTTCACACACCATGACATTTTTTTCTCAATTCCACTGACGTGGAACTGCCATTAAAATAACAAAATGAGCATTTATATCAGAAGCTATTATTCAAATAGCAGTATGTATACATTAACATTTGTTTCAAAGGATTTGCATATAATTATAAATAAGCACAGAACATTTATTTCATTTCCAACCAAACATTCCAAGGCAAACAGGAGGTGGGTGGCATTGTACATTTTTCCATTTTTGTCTCTGCTCTGGTATTTTCACAGTATAGGAAAAGTTTACTGCTGCCCACCAGCATTTCATAAATAGTTTTTGGTTTAAATAGGCTAAGATTCAGCATTAGCTCATTGCACTTCCTAAAATGTTCACTGTGAATTCCAGAGCCCTTTATGGCTGAGATTAGGAAGCTGATGTTAGTTTTGCTTCAGCTGATGCCAAAAATTGTTCCAACTGCTGCCAACACCATCAGGAAACATATTTTATTTGAATTATAGTGCACTCCTAATAGAACTGACATGAGACTGTCTGCTGTCAAATTAGACTTCTGTCACGGTGAGTCTAACTCATGAAACCAGGACCAAATACTGCATACCTTACTCTAATCTCTCATTGAAATCAATTGGGTTATTGCAAATGTTCTGTAACCGAAATCAAATTCCAGCTGTTACAGCAAGTGGTAGCATGGATTCATTCCAAATGGGAATAGTCTTGTTTCTGAAAGAGTGGCTATCTGTAAAAATCTTGATCTACCTGAAATTGGTGGTGAAATTCTCATTAAGATGAAAGGAGCAAGAGACAAAATTTACTTCCATTTCAGTGAGTTTTAACTATGAAGGACATTTGTCCAGCATTACTAAACTGGAGCAAAGAAATGGTTTGAGACAAGTTGCTACCTGTCTTAAAGGGCTCCTTTTGTAATTATTTAATCTCAGCTCAACTAATTAACTTATTAACTTGAAAAAATCTCAGAAATTCTGTCTGTGCTCAAAGTGTTATAATTTGAGGACAGCTATACTGCATTTCTTTTACAGGAAGTGGCTGAATCCGTGCAGAAAAACTCAGCTTATACATAACTACACAACTGCTTCTGGTTTTTTACCTCCATTATTATGGTACTTTAAACCGACTGCAAAACTGGCCTGAGAACCTGAATAAGCAGGGGTGAAATCCTGGGCCCCCCATGCCCATGGCAAATAACATAACTAAGAACCATTTAGAACTCCTACAGTCTTCAACGTGTCAGGATTTTACACTTTATGGGTAGAAAAATATAGGAAATACTGGGCACATCTCCATGCAACGCTAAATGAGCAGTAGACAAATTCTACCATGCATTTGCGTGTCATGGCAAAAGACGTTCTAATGCACTAATGTGCAATAGAATTACTCTACTTACTGTGTATTAGCATCACTAAAGAGGCATGTGCTGGCACTATTGTGCAGTAGCGCCAGTTACTGTGCATTGAGCTAGTACCTCTTATTACAGGTATTAAACTTCATGCACAGTAACTACAGCACATTAATACGTGTGAAGACATGCCCACAGTGACTGAGAATTAAATACTGAATTTATTAAAGAAACTGAATATTCCTTAGTGGACTAAAAGGTTCTGGTCACTTTTCTTGCATTGTAAGTAATTTCTGCATGTATTTGAATACACATATGTATGAAGTATATTGTTCTCTAGCCTACCCTTGGCTCTCTTCCATTAGTATTCCCAGCAGCTTCTAAGGGGTGTGCACTGGGTCTCCTTATCCAACAGAAGTACACATTACCAACCATTGTTACATGGCATGACTCCAACACAGTCTTGGAAATGTGAATATTTAATAGAAAAATGTAATTTGCATTTTACAACATACAAACATGACACTATCAATGTAGCAAATGAATTCAATTGAAAAATAATTTCAAAATAAAGCATTGGGTTATAAAATAAATAATGCTGTCTAAAAGAAATGTGCATGTTTTGCTTTTAAGAGGCAATCACACTATAACTGCTCTTGTTTCCATCTTCTGAATAAGGTCCATAATTTATATAGAAAAATATACAAGAAACCCAACTTTTTGATAAAGAATATGCTGAGTATGTAACATTTAACATAAATAAAAAGCCTAAAGCAAAACCAAAAAGAAAACCAATTATTTTATTTCTGTACATCAAGACTACAAATAGTATTTTAACACTTCATTTTTTACCCAAATTAAGAAATTATACATTTTATACTGATACTAGTAAACATTTTAAAATCACAGAATTTCCCCCCATTTAAGAGGATATTGCTAGTTACTGCTTATTAAATATGAAATCCAGGAATAGCAAAATAATTTTAGCAATAGAGATGAGCAAGACTCTGATGGTAAATTGTTTTTTTTCTTTGAAGATCAGAAGGGATATACTTGTTTATGCTTCTTATGGCTTGAATTATCATTATTTTTAGCTGAATGCAAATTATATGTGAACACAAATCTTGACCCAGTAATGTGCCTATTATTAGAGAACGAAATCCCTCCATTTGAAACCAGTTTTTCCCCTGGCAATCAAATTATGATAAGCAGCATGTTCCCATCTACTTGCCTGAGCAAAACCGCTAAGACCAGATGGATGTGAAAGCTGCTTATTGACAAAAATAATGAATCAGACTATATTCTATGGAACATGGCATTTAGAATGGAAATAAATGATGAGCAGAAGGAATGTGAACACCGCAGGCTTCAGATATAAAAGATAAAGCCTGATACTTTGGTTCAAATAATTTTAATAGTTGTTACAAGTATATTTTTTCCAAAGTCATGACTACTGTATGTATTGGGTATGTCATAGGAGTCTGATGCATAAAAAAAAAGTCTGTACAGGCACTAAGGAGAGAGAGAAACAGAACAGAGAAAGCATGGACAGTCACATCTGTTTATGACAGTGTCCAACTGATCATGACGTAGCAAAAGGTAGAACTTAAAAATAAGCATGCGAAACCCATTTCTGGAAGATATTTCAGAGAGTCCAAATAAAAGCCTATAAATGTTTTATCTCAGTGCCTACCCTCTTAAGCAAAGGTAGTATTAAACAATTCTAATCCATCTTAATAGCAACAACTAATGTTTGTAAACAGTTCTACCACATGAGAAAAGATGTGGGGTCATCAGGAACAAGCAATCTCAACCTCTGAATTCTAGGACATTTGCACACATCTTTTTTCCCTCTAAGACTTATTACAGGATGTTAGCTCTGTTTTATCCCAGCGTGCTGCATTGTACACAAGTTTATTGCCAGCTTGTGGATTTATTTATATTTGAACAGCACAAAGCCAAAGCTTCATCTTTGGTTAATTTCACGGAGATGTCACTGTTCTTTAAATGTGCTCTTTCTTGGCATAAACACACAAAACAGCCACACTGCACACAGCATTCATTATTTTGAATCATAAAGCAGTGTCAATGTAAGGTTAATTAATGACAGCTAACAAACAAACTGTGTGTTTAAAAATGAAACCCATTTGGGGGCAACTGGTAAGAAATGAATGCTGCAGAAACCTAGATGGAGTTGTCTTTTAATCTGCTTGGGTACGGGTGCTGCTTTTGAAGTAGGCACTGGTTAGGTCCTCTGCACAGCATCTGATTACACCTCAGTTCAACTCAACTTAGCTCAAATCCAGCAGCACATTCAATGGCATATAGAAGCTTGCTCCGCATAAGGTTTTCATCATAAAACTCCGGAAGCTTCAGCAAGTTCATGCAGGTACTGGCAGTGGGAAGCCTGTCTAGATCAGATCCTCCATTGTGAATGCAAAATGCAGGATATAATTCCTGGAAAATAGTAACAGAAAAGAAAAAGATCTATGTACACACAAGTTAAAACAGGTACTACTACAATCAGCCTAAAACTTTTAGGAAAAAAAGTAACTGCCATTAAAATCTGTATCAGTGGCATTTTGAAAAGACATGTTCTTCCTTGGTTACCTCAAAAGACCCTCTCCCTCCAACATTTGTATAGAAGAAAAACATTCATGGTCATTAAGCCACAGGAAGTAAGGCTGGTTCACCTACTCTTAAGGAAAAAAAGATACTCCAATTGTTCACAGAGCATGTTTTGCAAAATATTGTCTTGTATAGAAACGGTGAAGCATGAAATAGAAAAATACAGCAGCATGCAGGAAGTAGTACTTATTTACTTCCAATAACATATTGATTTGCAGTAATTGTAGATTAATATTAATTAGAGGCTCTCCTTACAAAAACTCCCACAGGTCTGCAGACCACTCATTTTTCCGTCATTACAGAATTAAGCAGAACTTGTTGTCGGGCACTGAAATTTCTGAGCACCCATATTGCACTACTGAGCACCGGTGATACAAGATAGCCCGGGGGGGCTGTGCTCCTCTCTAAGATGTGCAGCGTTGACCAGAGCCAGGTACCAGTGCCCCGAGTGCCTTTGTCTGCTGTTGCACCGTGGGGAGATCATGGGGGGGGTGTCTACACACACATCCCACCCTCCACAAATGCCACACACCCACACCCTGTCCCCACAACCACCCACATATATATATAACCACCAACATACCCTTTGCCCCACCACATCCCACCGTACACACACACACACACACACACACACACCCATCCCCCCCACTATACACCCCCACCCACCAGATACACCCACACCCCACCCATCCACCCCCATATACCCTTACCCCCCCACACATACCCTACACCCTAAGAATATTATTATGCAATCATCCCTATATACAGTACAGAAACACTAATCATGACAAAAATATTTTTGTAATAACATTAAAATATGTTATAGTAAGTATTTTTAGTATATGATTTGGTTTTTTTCTGGTTCCAAGATGGCAACCCTCTCCCCTCCCCCAAGGAGCATTTCCGGGGGGTAAAGGGAGGGACATCCAGTGGCAAAGGTCAGGGGTTAGGGGTGGGACTTCAGGACCCAAGATGGGGACCAGGGGGTGGGGCACCTGTCAAGGGGCAGGGCTACCCGTGTGGCCCTCGAAAGCTTACCAAACCTTAAGTGGCCCTCCATCTGAAATAACTGCCTGTTCCTGCTGTATCATCATCATCATTTGTTGGAGGCAGGCCCTGGCACTGAAACCTGGGGCATGGAGCCCCACTGAAGATGTCTGGCTGTGAGTCTATTGGATATAAACTTGTCAGCTATTTGAGGTGCAAAATCTCTCTTTAAGGTTTTATGCATCTTTTTTTAGTCTTCTGAAAATGATGTTTCCCTTCCCATGATAAGTAGGGATGCAGAGAATATTTATTTGTTACACCTAAACCTCTACTATCATTGGCAAGGAAACATTAATTTTATCAAATTAATAAGTTCCTGAGTTAAAATAGATCATCTGGTTTCAAACACATGGGTGGGCAGTAGGGAAGGAATGGGAAAGCTACATGTCCCGAGACATGCCAACAAGAATTTAAACTAAATTATTGTTTAAATGGAGGCCTTAAAATGTATTCCACAGCTGAAATGCTGCATTTTGTGTTCCTTTCAAAATGCTAATTGAGTTTTCCCAACTTTAAGCTTTAAAAATGTAAAAAATGAAGTCCTCTATTGAAATGTCATGCCAAGGGCACCATTTGTTGCATAATTAAACACTGTACAACAGGAATCTATAATAGCATGGAAGAGAGATGTATCATCAAATTTATTATGTGACCTGATTAGAATTTAACAATTTTCAACCACACTTTAATGATTTTTTTTTGGTCTGTAACAATCACATTTATTAAACTTGTTAAACTTTAATTAGCTTTAGTAAATGTTATTCTGAATCTGATCATCTGGCACTCAGGGTTTTCATAATTTTTAAAGAGTGTAGGAGAAGATGGTGCTATTTGTATGCTACCAACTTTGAGATATTTCTTCCTCTTAAATGAATATCAGCTAACTTTACTGAAGGTGAGGGTTCCACAATGCAGCCTGCACAAGGTTTTAGAATGAATACTAAAAGTTGTGTTCTTAATAGTAACAGTTAATATCTCTTTTTAAATGACCATAGAAAAATGAATTACTGAAAACATTTTGCATTAATTTCCACACTCGGAGTGCAAGCTTTTTTATATATAACAAACATTCACTTATTTGGCTGCTAATAATACTTAGCACTTCCAGTACATAACCACTTTTCATCTTCAAAGTACTATATACACATTAATCATAGGCTACTATGACCACCACTCACGACAGGACCCGATTACCTACTTCCTTTTCTGGTATCCATTTACAACTTGAGTTTCTCTGGGACTGCAGCAGCTCACACTAAGCTATTCCTGGTTGGCTGCTGAGTCCCATCAGGCCAAGGGCATGCTCAACTTGTGAGACCAGTGGTGCTTTGCCTCCGGATGTGGGGCTACATCATTCCACCCAGGGGGCTTCCTACAGGTCCAGAAATATAGCAGTGGCAGCATGAATAGCCATGGCTTCCAGAGCTATAGCAATTTATGCTGTCACTGCTCCCCACTACCAAATTTCAAGACACATGAACTGGATGACATGGCCCCATGTGCCAGATCATGCCAACATGCGGGGAAGCTGCATGGCTGAATCCAGTGCATGGGGCCAGGCTGGAGCACTGTTTCACACCCATAGACTGATCCTGCATACTGACCCCACGCTGGATCAGACCCACCAATGGGATCTAGCCCATGGATCAGCCCCGTGCCACTCGTGGCCTCTGGGGCCAGAAAGGTGAGCACCACTGTGTTAGAGAAGCTGTTACTCCCAGATTCATGTATCAGTCAAGAGCCAGAAATGCCTGATACTGACTGCTGCTCACAAAGTAGAAACAATGCCCGTTTTGCTCTTCTTCCCATTGCTATATGCTGTGTGACACATTACGCAGTGTAGGATGGACTTGCAATATCTTCCCTCTTCAACACTTTGTTATCGTGCTTCACACTACGTAGCTATTTCACTTCCTATTCTCCTTTAGTACAACACGGCCATGCTACAGCTTACCGACTTTCACATTTGCCCATTCCACTTGCTTCTACAGTCTCTCCTTCAGGTCTACCTCAGATTTCAGATTCGCTTTCCACATCTTCTCTCAACATCTCAAAGACTGCTTTAATGTACGATTTGCATTTTTAGCTGAACAATCCTTTCCTCTCCTCCCACTCCCCACACTTTTAGAAAGACAAGCAGTAGTTGGGAACATTTCTCTTCCTTTTCTTTCTTCCTTTCTTCTAGAAGACACGTGCCAATTGATGGATCTTCCTTCTTTGGTACATGGCCAATTTTAATTGCATCCTGTTCTATGCATCTTGGTCTCATCCCTCGTGTTTCTAAGAGCTGTTCTTACGACCACCATCTGGAATGAATTTGTTACTAAGGTACCATGGGTGTAGCTGGAGATTCACTAAATAGGTATATTTCAAATGACTGACAACATAATACTTAGCATTTCTGTAGTGCTTGAAAGCTACAAGCCCAGGCTGATTGCAGAAGCAGCTGGGAGGCTGTAAACAGCTGCGCCAGGCTCCAGAGCCCTGGCAGGGCTCCGTGGCAATGGCTGCACATGCGAACCCCAGCCCCTCCCCTGCCATCCACCTGAGGCGCACATGCAGCCATCACCACCACAGAGCTGGTATTCCAGAGACCAGCAAAACTGTTTTCAGCCTGCTGGCCACCTGCTACAGCTGCCCCAAGCCCCTTCCCCACTGTCCCCCCAAAGGCATGTACGCATCTGCCCAGGTGGAACTAGAGCCCAGTGCAGCTGTTAACAGCCTCCTGGATGCCTGCCACAACCCGTGTGGGCTCTGGGCAGTTGTAGCAGGTGGCTGGCAGGCTGCAAACAGCTGCACTGGGCTCCAGAGCCCCAGCAGCAACTACACACATGCCTTGGGCACAGGGCAACACAACCCCAGCCCACTCCTCACCATCTGCCCAAAGGCGCACGTACAGCCGCCACCAGCAATGAGGAATGGGCTCCTCGTGGCTCCCCGGGATCTGCCCCTGACACACCAAGTTGAGGCGTAGGTCAGGGTTAGGGTGTTTTCGATACTCAGGCCAAAATTCTTTGCTGGTCCCTGGCCTATATCATCAGATGCCCAAACAAGCTTATGTCTCTCTGAACCAGTTAGTCTCTAGAGTGCCACACTGCACTCCCTTCAGACTAACATGGCCAACTACCTCTCTTCGCCCTTCTAGAAGGACTTGAATGCAAAGCTCTTAGCCAACACTGCTCAACTGGTGGCTGAGAATAGGTTAATCGGCAGTCTCCATATTTCCACCTGGCCACCACCACTCCTATCGCTCCAGCTGCAGCAGCCAGGGTCTCCAGGCTCCCCCTCCTTCCTCCAGCTTCTGCTTTCTGCCCCACCCCAGTGGGTAGGGCAAGCCAGTACAGCCCAGAGTGTAGCAGGGAGCCTATAAGTAGAGTGGTGAGGTGAGGGTCAGTATGCCTGTACAGCCTGGTGCATCTCATCTCTCTGAACATCTCTGAATTTCGAAACTGAAATTTGCATAAGCTTCTCTCTCTAGTATTTACAAATGTCAGATGCTTGCTTCGTATTATAATTGGGGTCTAATTAGCAATTTAAAAAGCTGCTTGTTAGCACAATATCTGGATGAAAAAGGCAGTAGCTATATATAATTTTATAAATAGATGAACGATATGCAAAAGAAAATATAAGATGCAATTCAGGAAATACTGATACATCTTAAATCTTCTTCTGCCAGCTTTTAAAGACATTAAAACTGAAATTAGTCTGTTCCCTGATACATACAGCAGCAGTGCCATCAGTTTGTTAACAACAGAGAAGAGATCAAACAAAAGCAATGCTGCAAGCATTCTCCCGCAGAAAGAGCAAGCATTTAAAATGATGTGCCCTTCCTTCTTCTGCAGTCCCAGAATTTAGCTACAAGGATTTTCCAGTAACAGTAAATGACTCTTTCATGATAAGATGTTAAACTGCATTATACTCCCTGCAAAGACTTAAGTAATAACTGTGGTTATAAACAGACTCCTTCCCTGGGTTATATTCTTAATTCCTAAATACATGAATTCCTGCGTGTAAAACCACCCTGCTGCTCGTGTTCAAACTGAGCACCACTCAAAGCAAATTCAGCCAGGCCTGTACCTTAAATCCCAGCAGAGGGGGTCGAGAGCAGCTTGTTACAAACTTGAGCAATTTACGTTTTTCTTCATCAGTGAAGCTTTCCACCACTCTCCAAAATATTTTGATTACAGGATGGTCTGCCGAGTAGCCACCTAGTAGAAGATTGGCATTGTAAGAGAAAGAAAGAAACATTTTAATAGAAGTAGAAAGAAGTGTCCGTACACACACACACACACACACACACACACACACATCCCCCCCACTATACACCCCCACCCACCAGATACACCCACACCCCACCCATCCACCCCCATATACCCTTACCCCCCCACACATACCCTACACCCTAAGAATATTATTATGCAATCATCCCTATATACAGTACAGAAACACTAATCATGACAAAAATATTTTTGTAATAACATTAAAATATGTTATAGTAAGTATTTTTAGTATATGATTTGGTTTTTTTCTGGTTCCAAGATGGCAACCCTCTCCCCTCCCCCAAGGAGCATTTCCGGGGGGTAAAGGGAGGGACATCCAGTGGCAAAGGTCAGGGGTTAGGGGTGGGACTTCAGGACCCAAGATGGTGACCAGGGGGTGGGGCACCTGTCAAGGGGCAGGGCTACCCGTGTGGCCCTCGAAAGCTTACCAAACCTTAAGTGGCCCTCCATCTGAAATAACTGCCTGTTCCTGCTGTATCATCATCATCATTTGTTGGAGGCAGGCCCTGGCACTGAAACCTGGGGCATGGAGCCCCACTGAAGATGTCTGGCTGTGAGTCTATTGGATATAAACTTGTCAGCTATTTGAGGTGCAAAATCTCTCTTTAAGGTTTTATGCATCTTTTTTTAGTCTTCTGAAAATGATGTTTCCCTTCCCATGATAAGTAGGGATGCAGAGAATATTTATTTGTTACACCTAAACCTCTACTATCATTGGCAAGGAAACATTAATTTTATCAAATTAATAAGTTCCTGAGTTAAAATAGATCATCTGGTTTCAAACACATGGGTGGGCAGTAGGGAAGGAATGGGAAAGCTACATGTCCCGAGACATGCCAACAAGAATTTAAACTAAATTATTGTTTAAATGGAGGCCTTAAAATGTATTCCACAGCTGAAATGCTGCATTTTGTGTTCCTTTCAAAATGCTAATTGAGTTTTCCCAACTTTAAGCTTTAAAAATGTAAAAAATGAAGTCCTCTATTGAAATGTCATGCCAAGGGCACCATTTGTTGCATAATTAAACACTGTACAACAGGAATCTATAATAGCATGGAAGAGAGATGTATCATCAAATTTATTATGTGACCTGATTAGAATTTAACAATTTTCAACCACACTTTAATGATTTTTTTTTGGTCTGTAACAATCACATTTATTAAACTTGTTAAACTTTAATTAGCTTTAGTAAATGTTATTCTGAATCTGATCATCTGGCACTCAGGGTTTTCATAATTTTTAAAGAGTGTAGGAGAAGATGGTGCTATTTGTATGCTACCAACTTTGAGATATTTCTTCCTCTTAAATGAATATCAGCTAACTTTACTGAAGGTGAGGGTTCCACAATGCAGCCTGCACAAGGTTTTAGAATGAATACTAAAAGTTGTGTTCTTAATAGTAACAGTTAATATCTCTTTTTAAATGACCATAGAAAAATGAATTACTGAAAACATTTTGCATTAATTTCCACACTCGGAGTGCAAGCTTTTTTATATATAACAAACATTCACTTATTTGGCTGCTAATAATACTTAGCACTTCCAGTACATAACCACTTTTCATCTTCAAAGTACTATATACACATTAATCATAGGCTACTATGACCACCACTCACGACAGGACCCGATTACCTACTTCCTTTTCTGGTATCCATTTACAACTTGAGTTTCTCTGGGACTGCAGCAGCTCACACTAAGCTATTCCTGGTTGGCTGCTGAGTCCCATCAGGCCAAGGGCATGCTCAACTTGTGAGACCAGTGGTGCTTTGCCTCCGGATGTGGGGCTACATCATTCCACCCAGGGGGCTTCCTACAGGTCCAGAAATATAGCAGTGGCAGCATGAATAGCCATGGCTTCCAGAGCTATAGCAATTTATGCTGTCACTGCTCCCCACTACCAAATTTCAAGACACATGAACTGGATGACATGGCCCCATGTGCCAGATCATGCCAACATGCGGGGAAGCTGCATGGCTGAATCCAGTGCATGGGGCCAGGCTGGAGCACTGTTTCACACCCATAGACTGATCCTGCATACTGACCCCACGCTGGATCAGACCCACCAATGGGATCTAGCCCATGGATCAGCCCCGTGCCACTCGTGGCCTCTGGGGCCAGAAAGGTGAGCACCACTGTGTTAGAGAAGCTGTTACTCCCAGATTCATGTATCAGTCAAGAGCCAGAAATGCCTGATACTGACTGCTGCTCACAAAGTAGAAACAATGCCCGTTTTGCTCTTCTTCCCATTGCTATATGCTGTGTGACACATTACGCAGTGTAGGATGGACTTGCAATATCTTCCCTCTTCAACACTTTGTTATCGTGCTTCACACTACGTAGCTATTTCACTTCCTATTCTCCTTTAGTACAACACGGCCATGCTACAGCTTACCGACTTTCACATTTGCCCATTCCACTTGCTTCTACAGTCTCTCCTTCAGGTCTACCTCAGATTTCAGATTCGCTTTCCACATCTTCTCTCAACATCTCAAAGACTGCTTTAATGTACGATTTGCATTTTTAGCTGAACAATCCTTTCCTCTCCTCCCACTCCCCACACTTTTAGAAAGACAAGCAGTAGTTGGGAACATTTCTCTTCCTTTTCTTTCTTCCTTTCTTCTAGAAGACACGTGCCAATTGATGGATCTTCCTTCTTTGGTACATGGCCAATTTTAATTGCATCCTGTTCTATGCATCTTGGTCTCATCCCTCGTGTTTCTAAGAGCTGTTCTTACGACCACCATCTGGAATGAATTTGTTACTAAGGTACCATGGGTGTAGCTGGAGATTCACTAAATAGGTATATTTCAAATGACTGACAACATAATACTTAGCATTTCTGTAGTGCTTGAAAGCTACAAGCCCAGGCTGATTGCAGAAGCAGCTGGGAGGCTGCAAGCCCTGCTGCAAGCAGCCCGGGCTCCATGGCAGACAGCGGCTGCCCCCGAGCCCAGACGCCCTGCTGCAAGCAGCCCGGGCTCCATGGCAGACAGCGGCTGCCCAGAGCCCAAGCTGGTTGCAGCTGGGAGGCTGTAAACAGGTGCGCCAGGCTCCCAAGGCCCCGGCGGGCCCCCC